TGCATCAAAGCCCCGCCTTCATTGTGGTATACATGACTCCCCATTTTTAAATATATGAGTTATTTGTTCAAACATAGCATCTTACATTTTATTAACAGTAATGCAATAGGTAGGACACTTTGTAACTTGTGGCTTTGGTTGTGGTTAGGTTCCAAATCATTGTTGGCTTGCTAACAATAAACCCAAACCAAACCCATTGCTACCGAATGGATTCTGACACATAACCATGCTGTAGGACAGAGGGTTCCAGGGAGTTCACAGGCTATACTCTGTAAGAAAGCAGTGATCTTCTCCTGCAAAGCAGCTGGTGGATTTGAACCACTGGCCTTTTGGTTAGCAGCTAAGCATTCAACCAAGACTTCTTCACTAACAATAATGATATTTATATTGGTGTAATTCAACGTTTCAAGACAATGTTTGATGTTACAACTTTCCATGTTCTTCAAGTCATTAAACTCAATCAGTCAACGAGTGCATTCTCTCAGCTGTTGCATATCTTTAGCAATAAAACATTGATTACTTTAGAGCATTCCCCTATACTCAATACCTAACAGTGTTCTCTCTTAGTAGCTTCAGCAAATACTTAGAAATGAATCAATAATGCCTCATGCAGTAAGCAAAAGCTCCAGCTTTGGAAAGTGATGAATCTGATTTAAAGTCTAGATCTAACAAGGACCTCGTGATCCTGGGAAAGGTCCTAGTTTCCCTAAGCTTAAGAGATGTGAGCTGCGTGGTATATGCACCGTTCTTTAATGAATGGATTGAAAGGAGTCAGTAGGTGAAGGTGGGAACTCACAGGCAGAAGAGATGAGTTGCATGCTATAGTTGGGCCTTCCTCAAGCTTAAGAGAGATTGAGATCACGAGCCTAGGAAGTGGTTCAAAAGAGGGACCTTCCTGGCCTCCCAACACTGCATATCCTTATTATAAAGACTAGAACAGTGGTTCTCAACCTTCCTAATGCCGCGACCCTTTAATATAGTCCCTCATGTTGTAGTGACCCCCAACCATAAAATGATTCTTGTCACTACTTTGTAACTGAGATTTTGCTACGTTACGAATCAGGTGACCCCTGTGAAAGGGTCATTGGACCCCCAAAGGGGCTGTGGCCCACAGGTTGCGAACCACTGCTCTAGGAGAGTGGGTTTTTACATCTAGAGGTAATCCAGCTGGAGCTTGGCTGTGGGCCTTTCTCAGGGGAGAGAGATTCAGACAAACATCTGTCAGGTGTTCACCTGTGCTGAGAGTACCTGGAGTCCTCTGGGGTGGAACAAGCCAACGACCCCCACTAATTCTGTGCTGGCAACCCAAGAACAAGCCACAGGACTCCTTCAGCCGACCACACTCTTATACAAAATGACAAGACTCATGTGTTATTAGGATCGGATCAAAAAACACCTGTAACGAATCCTATCTAACACATTGTTCCCTCCATGACAGTTATCTATATCATGCTTGAATAAATTAAGGTTCTGCAAAGCTACTGCTGCAAAGTGGTGGCGAAAGAATGCAGTGTAATTGCGGAGTCAGTTCATTTTATCAAATACATTCCCATGAGACACCCACTCCATTCATCCTTTGGCTATTTTGGGTGATCTCTGAGAATCGTTTTTCCATTGAGTTTATCATTTTCTTCATCTTTTAATAATGATCTAAAATTAAGGAACAATCACTGTCATAGGATGTCAATTCCATGGCACCCAACAATAGCAAACACATGCTTTCTATTGTGCTATGTTACTATACAGTCTCATTTTTTAAATCTCCCATTGCTACTTCAATCATGGGTCGATGAGATAAATGGAGACAGACCTACAACATGAATGATGTAGGTAACATGCTTACTTTCTCTAAGATTCCTTTACCTTTGATCTATGAGCAGCAGTCAAGAAATCAAACACTGTATTGCATCGGGCACATCTGCTGCGTGAGTTCGCTTTAAGCGGTGAAGAGCAAGGCTGTCACTTTGAAGACTAATGGACACCTGACCCAAGCCAGGGCATTTTCAATGGCCTCACGTGCTTATGAGAGTCGGCCCATGAATAAGAAATACTGAAGAAGAATTAATGCAGTTGAATGAAGGAGCTGGCAGGGAATATTGACAGCACCACGGACTGCCAGAGAACAACCACATCTGTCTTGGAAGAAATCCAGCCAGAACGCTTCTTAGAAGCAAGGATGGCAAAGCTTAGTCTGGTGGGCTTTGGACATGTTCCAGTTTCTGGAAAGGGGCATCCTGCTTGGTAAAGTGGAAGGTCCTCTAAAAAGAAGGACCCCCCCCAAGGAAATGCATTGACACGGCGGCTGCAACAATGGGCCCAAGCTGGACTGTGAGGACGGCGCAGCACGGGGCAGGGATCCATTCCTGGTGCACAGGGTCACTTTGCGTTGGACACAACTGGACAGCACGCAACAGCAACAGGGATTAAAGTAGCGTGTGCCTGCAAAGGACGGTACCTGACCGGCTGTCATTGCTCAATAACTATTAGTTGTTGTTATGCTGTGGTAAATACTATTCTGTAAGGTAAATGGTACGAATGGGCGGAGAGGGGAAGTAGGAATCTGGTATACTTTGAACTTGGTTGATTGCACGAATTGTACACTTTGTTCAACTCTACAATCCATAGATGAGTAGAACCATCCGGGCAGTGTGTTCCAGAATCTCAATTTTATGTGGGATTTCTTTTCAAAGGCTGATTGTATTGAAGTGTGTCAAACCATAAACAAAAGGGCAAACACATAATAGAAGCTCCTACTCTGGATTGTTGGGCACCTAGTAAGAAATACGCTGCCCATGGACTTGTGGTCTCTATGGTTCACCAGTTGGAGGGAGCATGATCATGAACTTGGGACCTGGAATCATGCACACCTGTGTGCAAACTGTACTCTGCCACTCCTTGTCTGTGTGGCTTGGGCAAATCAAGCTCTTGAAGGTTCTGCCTCCTCATTTTCAAAACAAGGAAATGGTCACAGTCATCCAATGATATTTACTTAGTCTACGGTGAGGAATTATAACCTGCTTAGTAGTAGTAGGGTGCCAAGCATAGAGGAACAAGCACTCCAGCTAAATCTGCTGTTTCTAAAATCATAAAAATCAATGTTGTTAGCGATGTGCTGTGCCTATTTACCATGACTATTTATACTAATACTGTTGTTGTTACTTGTAGGCCCCAGGAGGAACAGAAATTATGCTGACGATGTTTCATGATGGAGGGAAGCCCTGAGAACCCCAGAAAATACAAAAGGAGACCTGAGCAATGGAAGTAAGTTACCATGGAGACCATTCAGACTCATGGCAACCTCCTGAGTGTCCCCGTAGGACCGTGCTAGCGTAGAACACTAGAGTTTTCAATGGCTGCTCATTCAGCAGTAAATCACCAGAATGTTCTTCTGAGGAGCCTCTAGGTGCACTTCCAGGCACTTTGCACCATCTGCACAGCCAGTGAAAGCCACAGGACACGGTCTCCCTGTTCTGATGAGGTTCAGATGGCTTCAGCAAGCAGCTTGGCATCTTTACGACATGTGGAAATAGAGCGGCCCAGAACTACCTCAGTTTACACCACAGAGTGGGAAAATATGTGTTAGAGACAGCACCAGTGGTTCAAAGAAATGAGTGCTTACTGGAGGGAGGATGGAGGTGTGCAATTGTCTGGCCCTCGGGAGGTTTCCCGATTCTTCTGAGACACCGGCTATGAAATGCTGAGCAAATTACTGGCTCTCTCTAAACCTCAGTCTGCTCATCTGCTAATTGTGGGTCAAATCAACTAACTCGTCATCCTATAATAAAAGAGCAACTAACAAGATGGTGTGGCTTGAAGTAGACTGTCAATAACTCTTAGGTCCCTTCCCCACAAAAAGATCTAATAAAACGATTCATTAAAGGAAGACTAAGTGAAATCTGTGGTTTCTATCATTTCATGTGAAAACATTTCCAACAAATTTTCTCTTCTGGCAGAGTGCTTTACCTTTTCCATTAATTTATGCGGGAGGTATCGCAGATTTAAAAGCTAATTACATGGCATATTATTTTTAGGCTGGAGAGAATAACATGCTTTGGTTTCATAACAGATGGCTGGTTATACTAAATGGAACAGTCTCTTTTATTCAGGGGAAGGTCCCTAAACAAAACGCCATCAAATATAAGTAGGGGAGGGAAGGCTCTGATGTTTGACAGTTATCTAGCCAATGGCATCAAAACACATTGTTGCCCAGTTGATTCCGGCATGTGGTGGACCCATGTGTTACAGCGCAGCACTGAGCCCCATTGGGTTCCCTGGACAGGCATCTTTTCTGAAGCAGATATCTAGCCTTTTCTTCGGCGGGTGGTTGAGTTGATTGATATTACCAATCTTTCAATTAGCAGGGAAGTGCAAACTCTGGCACCATCCAGAGCCCTGAAGTCCATGCATTCTCTTCTCACTTAGAGACACATTTAGGTCCCAAAGATGAGGTTGTTATGTGAAAAACAGTCTAATGCAAAAACGGAAGACGGTCACTTCAGATGACAAAATGGAGGATGACTACATCATTACATGACTGCCATACCATGAGAATCTTGGCCCAGCCAAGCTGACACCCAACCCTCACCATCACAACCAGCATTGCTCTTGCCTCCTTATACCTCAGCATTCATTACTACCAGACATGCATCATTCAAACAATAGGATAGCAGCTTGTTCACGATTGTTACAAATGCAAAATGTCAGACAAGATAGTCAATAAGCAAAGAATAAGTGTAATATTAAGTTTGAATTCATATATATATTTACAAACATACATTCATCCACATAACCTCCATCCATCCAGTCATCCATCCACGACTGAGCCAGAAAGTTGAAAACTAAGTCAATACTGGGCACACACTGCAACGCAAAGTGTTCTACAAATCACTTGCTTTTATATCTCTTTACCTAACATAAAAAGTCAATGTCAGTTTACAGTGGAGCTTTAAAGCCATCTCCTTTGATATTGATTTCAGTGGGTTGGATAAACAAAGACTTACTATATGCACATCCAAACACCTCAATTCGCATTCCAATTCTGCCCTTGGGGTTCCACTCTAAAGGTATGAAGCGCAGAAATTTGGCTTTGATGGAAGGCTGGAGTCGACAGTACACCACGCTGTCTGCGTTTGCATTTCCGGAAAATCCCTGGGAAAAAAAGGGCAAGAAGAAAATCAGCATGTCTCATGTATATGCAGTGTACCTTGTCACTTATAATGTCAGTAAGCAATGTCACTTAAATGTCAATAAACAGGTTCATTTGTTCGTTTGTTGCTGTGAAAATGGTTGCCGTCTTTAAGAAAATCTTATTTATGGCTAGGCCATAGAATCTCTCCATCTGTGGAAGCAACTATTGCCTGAAATTTTCTTTCTATTAAGAGTAGTTTAAATTCCACAATCCCCAGGACACCGGCTTCCAACTAGGAGGCCCTCAATCAAGTTTATGTCTATTAGGAGCAATCAAACTTAGAAGTGTGACATTTCTCTAGTCGTTAACACCGAGGATAACCGCCCCCCCCCAAAAAAAAGACCCAAACAAAAAACTTTTGATAAACATTCTCCCAGTACTTTGGAATTTGTTATGATTTTCTACGAAGGAGTTGCTTCCATCATTGATAAGACAGGAACTTTATGGTGTGTTTTTCTTTTTTGGCTTTCTCATCTTATTTAGGAACATTGATTAAAAAAAAACATCACCCAATAATCCATTTCAGAGACGCACACAATACTGGGTAAATGTATTAATTTTTTTTTTTTTAGTTTTTAAAGCTAAAGGAAATTGGAAACAATAATAACTTAGGAAGACCTCGGATTAGACTTAGATGCTATAGATTTGGGGAGCTATTAGGGAGGTCGGGGATATGCTACCCTAGAAAAGTCAAGTCCCGGATGAGGACAGTAAAGGTCCGAGTGGTGAGGAAAGAACATCTGTAGTTGCACCCAGAACCTGGAGCAAGGTGCTTCCTGTGTATCCATCCACCCAACACAGAGGTCACCTGCAAGGTCCACGTGATGGAGCTCCTAACACCTGAACAACTTTTCTTGGCTCCTGCCTGTGAGTTTGTTTTGTTTTGTTTTGATATACATGTGCCTCCACCTGGTGAAAAGCCGTAAGGAAGCCGAAGTTGTTCTCAATGACTCGATTCCTTCCTTCCTTCCTTCCTTCCTTCCT